AAAATATAATCCTAATCCTATATTGAGGAGGAAAGTTTGAGAGTTTGGCTGCAGAACTTTAGTGTTTGCATAATGTATTCATTGTTGTTTATTCAGGAGTGGGTCTGATGCAGTCTCCACAGCCCAAAATCTCCCTATGAAGCAATGTGGGCCCTTCATATACATTTTAAAAGAGAAGACGATAGACTCAAAGGGGAAGGGGAATCAACCTATGCATCAGCCTTTCTCCACATCATTCAACCCCCAGTCCTGGGAGCAATGCGAGTTAAAAATCTCCACGGCTCTTTCCCACTAGCCAGAAATCCACAAAGGGAAGACCTTCTGCCAACAATTCCCCCTCACGCTGATGGGGTAAAATTCAGCCCTGTGCAGGGCAAGGTCTGTGCATGGCACTGAGCGTAAATGGGAAGAGGTTTTGTGGGATGTTAGCAGCACATTGTTCTGCCTGTATCCGAACAGCTGGCTGGACCCTGTGAGGTTCAGAGCATTGGGCCTCAATATCCCCCTCAAAGGTGGAGCTTCTGTGGGATTTGGGAATGGTCCAATCTGAAGAGGAGGATTTTGACCCAGCGCTTTCAGTCACCTCAGCCAGCCCAAATCGTGATTCTGTGGCACAGCTGAGCTAAAGTAGTGGAAGCTTTCTGGGCCTCGCACCCCTGGTACCTCACCATTGCCCTCTAACAACTCCCTGCTGCTGCTCTTGATCCCTGCTACCCAAAAGAGAGAGCCTCGCTTGCTGTCCTCCCCTCACACTATCCCCCCACCTTTGACACCGATCACTTCACCCTTCCCCAGAGCCTGGAGGACCCACGGCTCTCCAGGACGAGGTGGGGCTGAGCCCCTGACAAAGGAAGGAAAGGGAACGCCAGGCATTTGTCTCTGCCTCTGAATATGCAGGACAGACACATTTTCCTCCCTCTCCCGCCACTCTGACTGGAACAGGCCACCCATCCCGCTTCTACCATGGGGTGGCGGGAGGCACCTGGTCCTTTCCCTCTGCCTCCCCTCTAGGGCCACTCTGGCCCCTGCTTAGTTGAGCCCAAACAGTTACAGCTCTCATGACTTGCTCAGGGGACATTTACAGGAAAAGGTTTTGCTGGCGAAAGAGAAAAAGGAAGATTGAGGGAGAGGAGATGGGGAGCACGTGAGGGGGGCCAGCAAGGCCCAACGCCCTCCCACTGGCTGGCCAG